CCGCCATTTTGTTGTCAGTTAACTGCCATCTGAGTTGGCAGTTAATTTGCATATAGCCCTGATTAGCCAATGAAGGGGGTAGTTCGTACGCCAATTACCATTTTTCTCTTTTATTAGTGTAAAGATTGTCTAATAGCCACTTACTGTTTAAGTTTCCAGTTCATTTCCTTTTAATGTGCACAAATTCGTGCACTGGGCCTCTAGTCCTGTAATAAGTACCTGCTCAACCACTAGTTAAAGGAGGAGAGGAATGTCGTGTGTGGTTTGTGTAATGAGTGATCACTAAATCTACTTGTACCATTTTTCTCTTTTATTAGTGTAAAGATTGTCTAATAGCCACTTACTGTTTAAGTTTCCAGTTCATTTCCTTTTAATGTGCACAAATTCGTGCACTGGGCCTCTAGTCCTGTAATAAGTACCTGCTCAACCACTAGTTAAAGGAGGAGAGGAATGTCGTGTGTGGTTTGTGTAATGAGTGATCACTAAATCTACTTGGCCATATAACCAGGTAACTGATATTCCAGTGTATCAGTTGAACTACATGAACCTTAAAAAGAACCACGGACTACATGTATGCTCAATAAAAATTGGCTTTTTTGGAAGCTTATGTAGTATAAATTGCTATAAAGTTGTGAATTTTTCAGCTGGGACAGCTGATGCCTGTTGTGATTTTGGAATAATATTCAAGTAAAGGCAAGTGCAATGTAGAGAGTTTTGTTTAAAGAAATCAGTGGTATCTTAAAGCATTCAAATTTTGAATTAAGAAGCTTTAAAAATTAATATTTTGACCAAAAGTTTGATAAAAATGGCCAGTAAATTGACTTTTCTATTAGTGTTCCAAAGATGCTTAAAAGTGGCTTGAGGCAAAGGACTTTGCCTGTGACTTCTGTTATTTCTTAATGTGGTATAAACCCACGTTATGTATTTCTTAAACTGGTTTGATTTTATATTGGCTCAATTAAATTCTGTTTAAAGATAGAGTATAAAGAAACTCATTTTTATACCATAGTTATAGTGTATGCCGAATAATTATTGGTTTAAGTAATTATCAGGTAACTATTAAAATATTCATCTTACAAAGTTTTTGGCATTTGAGGAAATTTAAAGATAATCCAGAAACTCTAGGAATTATTAGTCCAGACATGCTAGTGAATACAATTTAGAAAAGTAAAGAGTTATGCTAGTGTATTTATATAAGAAATTAAGTGGTTATTTAGTTATTCAACTCAAGTAATCTCTGATTTAGGTTGATATAAATACTGAGCACCTGCTAAGTGACAGGCACTGTTCTGGGCATTGGGGGATTTTTTTTTTTTTTTTTAAAGAATGCTCTCATGTAGCTTACATTCTAATACTGCTTATTAATAAACCCTGTTACTCTGAATAGGAAATACTGGCCCATAGTAGGAAAGTGAAGAGGTAATTATTGAAATAGCTATACTTTGTAGTAGAATTTATTTTTTGATTTACCCACTCATTTAATATTACAGTTAGCAAGGCACCTTGATTATGTCCAAATGCACACAAATACGTCAGATATGCCCCAGACCAAGGTGCGGTCCTACCCGTCAGGTGTGGACCATCCTGGTGAGCCCAGTATCTGGCTAGATGCCACCTGTACAAGAGATGCAGTGGTTACAAGGCAGTGACTTCCTCCCTGGCCCTGGAGCTCTGAGGCTGCAGCTGGAGTGAGGGGACACGTCTGCGAAGTGCAACCTAGGTAGGCATGACGGAAGAAAACGAAGTAGCAAAAGACTTAAAAGAGTAAACGCCATTTATCAGTCCAAATAACACTAATGAAGCAAATAGTCACTAAAGACAAACGCTAGGACGTTTTCAACAAAGCGTGACAAGGACCCAGACCTCGCATGAGGGGCGGGGCGTTTCGTGCGTCATGACGCACTTCCGCGGCGCGAGCTCCGCCCCTGCGCGTCCCGCCGCGGATTTGAACGCTGTTCCAGAGGAGACAACGGTGGCCTAGCACGATGCAGCCGAGGGTCGTCAAGCCACCTGGGCAGGATTTCGCAGTGGAGCGCCTCAAAAGCCGCTACGGGCTGGGTGGCTGCCGCCCGGCCGAGGTAAGACCTCTCGCTTCCTCCCAGCCCTGCCCGGGCCGCTCGGGGAAAACAAGTGGAAGGAAAGTTAGCTACAGGGGAGAGTAGTTCTGGACCGCAGATGGGTAAACAATGGGCAGGTGGACAGAGTCACATACACAGGAAAAACGGAAAAGTTCCTTCACCATATGCTTTTAAAGGTTTATGTTCAGCAAATCGTGGTGTCATTGTTGAAAGTGTTTTTGAACTTTTATTCATAGTGACTTGAATGGAGTTCAAAAAACAATTTAACTCCTTTAAAAGGCTTATTTTGAAATACTTTCAAACTTAAAAAAAAAAGTTGCCAGAATCCTCTTCTACCCTCCTCTTGTATTCACAATTATTAAACTTTGCCACATTTGCTTTACAATACTCTCAGAGAGAAAGGGAGAGGGAGAGCTAGAAACATCAATGATGAGAGAGAACCATCCATGGGCCGCCTTCTGCACGCCTCGCACTGGGGATCAAGCCCTCAACCCTGGCATGCGCCCTAGACTGGAATGGAACCCGGGACCCTTCAGTCCGATGCTCTATCCACTGAGCCAAATGGGCCAGGGCTCTCCCTCTTTTTGACTCCCTTTCCATACAGACAATTTCCCCTGAACTATTTGGGGATAATTTGCAGACATCGTGACTCTTTACTGGCAGGTATAAATGCTTCAGTGTGTTTTCCTAGAAATAAGGGCATTGTCTTGTATAAGCAGAATAGAGTAATAAATTCAGGAAACTTGACATTGGCACAATATTATGAATTTCATATTAAAATTTTATCAATAACCTCAGTAATGTCCTTTGTATACAAATATTTTCTCCTGGTGCAGATACAGTTAAAACAAGCATTGCATTTTTTCTTCTTTTTGTTGCCTTTAATTTAGATTAGGTTCTGAAGGCTTTGTCTTTTGTAATATTGATATTTTTGAAGAATATAGAACAATTATTTATTAGAATGTCTCTCTGTGGGTTTGTCTGATGATATGATTAGATACTGGTTATATATTTTTGTCAGGAATGTTACATGAATGGTGTGTGGCTTGCTATGTTCATCAGGAGACACTTGTTGTTGCTTTGTCACATAATTGATGTTAACTTTGATCACTTGATTAAGGTGGTGCCTACAGATTTTTCCACTGGTCTAATTAAAGGCTAACCTTTGTACATAATTTATAGGGAACTATTTTGAGACTGTAAGTTGATTCATAGTATACACATTAAATGTCATCATTTTTTCTTTTTTTAGTATTCTGTTTCAAGTTTTGATCAGACTAAATCTAAGAGAAGATCTCTAACCTCCCCAGGTAAGCCTGTAGAGAATTTTCTGTATGTGGGGTTTTAGCAAATTTAATTTGAGAGAAAAGACTTTTAAAAAATGTTTAGACTTAAATCACTATTGCCATATGTCTTGTGACACTAAGCTTTATTCAGTCTGGTAGTAATCTATTAGTAATCATGATATTTGGGGTGAATGTGTAAGATGTCTTTAAAAATAAAATTGAATTTTTTGGTGTTTCAATTACAGTATTTTTATATTAAAAATTAAACAGTGTATTAGGTAAAGAAGACTAATGGCTATTTTTTCACACAAGCTTTCCCAAGTTATTAGAGTAATTATTGCACTGGAGGAATTAAGCAAATAAATTTATTTAATAATGTTAATTATACTGTGGGATTGGATGTGTTGGAACATCATGTGGTAATCTGTGGCTAACATGCATAGCTAATTAACCATTAGACTTTTTATTTTTTTGATATTTCTTATGTAGTGTCTTTAGTAAGTGTAATCATTGAACTTGGAGATGATTTTAGCAGAAACAGTAGTTAATATCTTTAAAAGTTCATTAGATGGTGGATTAAGGAATTTCACTTTTTTCCAAGCTTATTTCATTTTGAAATTTTGTAACAATCTTCTAGAACGTTTTTTCAATATGAAAAAAATATTCCAGTTATTACTGAGTCCAGTATCTTAAAAATATCTTGTAAAAATTGAATTTTAATTTTGAAAATTGCCCTAAAACTTTCATCCTTCCAAAATATAACTGAAAAGTATAGATCTTTAAATTTCTGAGGGGGTAAAAATGAGTGTTAAATAGGGTGCATACAATTTATAAGTAATTCTAAATAGCTTATCAGAGAAGCTCTATTTTCCTTTTTTTGACTGAATTTAGATATAGCCTAACAGTTTATTAAACAAATCATAATGTTTAAGTATATAAAATTGAAAATAAAATATTTCATGGTTGAGGACTGATGAAATACCATAAGTATTTAGAAAGAGGGCTGGATTTTCAATTTTATTCTATTTGCTGATTGTGTTATGTGGAAAAATTTGCATAACTTCTCTGATTCTTAGGTTTCTAATCATTAAAATAGAATTAAAAGCACCTATTCTGCTTGCTTTGAGGGGTTAGGATCAAATAAGGTAATGGATGAAAAAGCATTTTGTAATCAGTAAAGTGCTATAGTATAAATGTAAGAGTTGATGTTTATTTTCTGGAAGTTTGCATTAAGGAGACATAGATATAAGAAATCCTTTAACTAATTTTGCTGTCTTATCTTTAGGAGCCTAGAACAATATAATTAGGTAAGTAATCTCTGCTGTTTTCTTTTTTTCTTAATAGATGACTTGGATGTCTACTCATCGGGAGATAAAGTTGATTCCTTATTAAGATGGTATTCGGATGAAAGAAAGCATTCCACTATACCTCTTTATAGTTCATCCAAGCACTTCAGTATGAACTGGTAAAGTACCCTGTATCCTTACTGTTGCTATCCCTTCAGTATCTCAAAACACTGAGAAAAGGCAAATAATGGATTATTTATGTGTTTGCTTTTCACTGAGAGGAAGTATAAGCAGTCTGGAGCCCGCTGAACAGTAGTGTATGTCTCTAGTAGTATGGTAAGCAATGGATTTTAGATAGGCAGAGAGAGAAAGAAAGAGAGAGAGATTGAAGTCTGGGAGATGCTAACTGGGCTGTGAGAGGTTAGTAGTTTTGTATATGAGATTTTACCCTGGGTGAAATAAGTATACAAACAGTGGAAGCTGCCTGGCCAGTGTGGCTCAATGCTTGAGTGTTCACCAATGAACCAGAAGGTAACAGCTTGATTCCTGGTAAGGGCACATGCTCGGGTTGCAAGCTGGATCCTCAGTAAGGGGCCAGAAGGCAGTGGATCATTGATTCGCTCTCATCATTGATATTTCTATCACTCTCTCTGTCCCCCTTTCTGAAATCAATAAAAATATACTTAACACACACAAACACACACACACAAAACAGTAGTAGAAGCTAAGGTGAAATAAAATTCCAAATTCGATCTTATTAAATGCTAAAAATATGGCAGAAGGAAGTGCTATTTGTATAGAGGGGTAAACATCCTATCTAATAAAAGAGAAACATGCTAATTGGTGTACGACCGCTACCCTTCCCATTGGCTAATCAGGGCGATATGCAAATTAACTGCCAGCTAAGATGCCCTTCACGTTTCAGGCAGCTTGAAACTAACATGAGGCTTGCTTGCTTCAGTGACCGAGGACTCCAACGTTCCCCGCCTGCCGCTGTAGGCCTCTGAGCTGCAACTCTAAGCAACTATGTAGCAAATACAGAAGCTAAACAAAACCCCAGAAACCTGCTTTAGTCCACCAGGCTTCAGCCATGAGGATCGCAACATTGTAAGCAAAAGCCAGAAACCTACTTTCAGCAGCGGAGGCCTAAGAGCTGGAGCCAAGCCTCAACGCTAAAGCTGGCCCAGAATAAAAAAAAAAAAAAGGAGCGTTTGGAGCTACAGTCCCCCCCAGCCAGAAAACAGCCCTCAGCTCCGCACCCAGACTGGCCAGGCACCCCAGTGGGGACCCCCTCCCTGAAGGGTGTGTGACCAGCTGCAGACAGCCATCATCCCCTCACCCAGGCTGGCCAGGCACCCCAGTAGGGACCCCCACCCTGATCCAGGACACCCTTCAGGGCAAACCAGCCGGCCCCCACCCGTGCACCAGGCTGCTACCCTATCTGGTAAAAGGGTAATATGCCTCCCAGCACCGGGATCAGCGGCGCCGAGAGGCCTCCCGGCACTGGGATCAGCGTGACAGGGGGCAGTGCCCAAACCCCCTGATCGCCCCGCGGCTCTGTGTGTGACAGGGTGTAGCGCCCCCCCCTCACCCCCCCCCACCACGGGCCCTGCTCTCTGTGTGATGGGGTAGAGCCATAACCTCCCCATCGGCCCTGCCCTGAGTGTGAGAGTGGCGGTGCCCCAACTCCCTGATCGGCCCTGCTCTGTGGGTGATGGGGCAGTGCCCCAACCCCCTGATTTGCCCTGCTCTGTGCGTGACGGGGTGGCGCTGCAACCTCCCCATCGACCCTGCCTAGAGTGGGACGGGACGGTGCCCCAACCCCCCAATTGGCCTTACCCTGAGCGTGACTGAGGGTGGCATCACAACTTCCCGATCGCCCTGCTCTGTGCATGACAGGGGGCGGCGCCCCAACTCCCCATCAGCCCTGCTCTGAGCCTGACCAGGGGCTGCACGTAGGGATTGGGCCTGCCCTCTGCCACCGGGAGCAGGCCTAAGCCAGCAGGTCGTTATCGCCCGAGGGGTCCCAGACTGCGAGGGCACAGGCCGGGCTGAGGGACCCCTCCTCCCCGCCGAGTGCACAAATTTTTGTGCACCGGGTCTCTAGTCTACACTAATAAAACACAAAGATGCTAATTGACTGTATCTCTGCTATGCCCCAAGCCATGCCCACCAGCCACTCAGAGTGACTGTATGCAAATTAACCCAACCAAATGGTAGCCGGCAGCCACGGAGCTAGAGCAAGCAGGAGGCTTGGTTGCCCCAGCAAGGGAGGAAGCCAAGCTTTCCGCTGGCTGTGGCCTCCACAAAAGGCAACAAATTTTCAATTATAGAAGCTAAATAAATCCCAGGTACCTGCTTCCAGCCAGCCTCCACTGGGATCTTGGGTGGCTGGGGGTTGTGGCCATCCTGGAAACAGCCATCAGCCCCTCACCCAGGAACCCCAGTGGGTACCCCTACCCTGAAGGGGCTGTGGACAGCCTGCAAACAGCCATCAGCCCCTCACCCGGGCTGGCCAGGCACCCCAGTGGTAACCCCCACTCTGAAGGGGCTGTGGACAGCCAGCAAACAGCCATCAACCCCACACCTGGGCTGGCCAGGCACCCCAGCGGGGACCCCCACCCCGAAGGGGCTGTGGACAGCCAGAAAACAGCCATCAACCCCTCACCCGGGCTGGCCAGGCACCCCAGCAGGACCCCCTACCCTGATCCGGGACACCCTTCAGGGCAAACCAGCCAGCCCCCACCCATGCAACAGGCCTCTATCCTATATAATAAAAGGGTAATATGCAAATTGCACCTAACAGCAGAGCAACTGGGAATCACTGGTCACTATGGCACACATTGACCACCAGGGGGCAGATGCTCAATGCAGGAGATGCCCCCTGGTGGTCAGTGTGCTCCCACGGGGGGAGTCTGCTCAGCCACAAGCCAGGCTGACAGCTACCAGCACAGTGGTTGTGGTGGGAGCCTCTCCCGCCACCTCAGCATTGCTACGGATGTCCGACTGCAGCTAGGCCTGCTCCCTGCTGGCAAGTGGTCATCCCCCGAGGGCTCCCGAGATGCCAGAGGGATGTCTGATTGCCAGTTTAGGTCCAATCCTCTGGGGAGCGGGCCTAAGCCAGCAAGTGGTCATTCCCCGAGGGGCTCCAGACTGCGAGAGGGCACAGGCTAGGCTGATGGACCCTCCTGAGTGCACAAATTTTTGTTTACCAGGCCTCTAGTTTTGAAATAATGTTAAACAACAAAGACATATACAGAATGAAATTTTGAGATAATTATGGAGAAGAAAAAAGACAATTGTGCCTAAAATATCATATATTATTAAAGTAATTGATATTTGGTAGCTTAAATTTTTAATATAATTGTTTTATTCTCTACTTCAATGAGTTAATCTATGTACAGCACATAGAAAAAAATTCAAATATTATCATTACTGTTGTTAGTACTCTTTATCATTTACAGAGTAGCCTAGTTGATCTGGATTCAAGATTTGAACATGAGATATATTGACTAGAGCAGTTGTTCTCAACCTTCTGGCCCTTTAAATACAGTTCCTCTTGTTGTGACCCAACCATAAAATTATTTTTGTTGCTACTTCATAACTGTAATGTTGCTACTGTTATGAATCGTTATGTAAATATCTGATATGCAGGATGGTCTTAGGCGACCCCTGTGAAAGGGTCTTTCGACCGTCAAAGGGGTCGTGACCCACAGGTTGAGAACCGCTTGACTAGAGAGTGAGGAAAGTGAAAATTATTTTAAAATATTTGAGAATTCATGGAAATTATTTTCTTATATTTAACTGGTAATTTTATAATTTTTTGCTTCTGGTATACTTCAAATTATAATTTAATGCTTTTCTACTATAAAGGGTTTTATAACGTTGCACAGTTTTTCCACAATCCCTAGTTATGACCTAGTATAGAATTACACTACTGTCCAGCACAGTAGATGCATGTGGCTATTGAGTACTCGAAATAGGGCTTTTCTGAAGTGAGGTATGTAGGAAGTCTAAAATACACATCAGATTGAAGAAAATGGGCCCTAAGATGTAAAATATCCTAATTTTAAAATACTGATTACTGTTATGCCCAGATTTCAAAATCCCCCAAGACAGACCACTAGGGAGCCGAGTCCTATGCAAAAGCATAGTGTCTTTTATTCAAGCCCGGGACTTGGTCCCCCCACTTGCCTCCATTACTGGATGCAAGAGAGAGCCCCGAGTCCCAAGGGAGCAAAGAATTTATAGGGCTTGGGGTCGGGGGGTGGGGGCACACTCTGACCACTGATTTGGCTGATTCCGGTTGGTTGAGTGAGGGCCTGGGGCTAGTGACGCAAGGGCAGGGTGCACCTAGGGTCTGGTTACACAAAGACAGGGGAGTGGCTAGCATACTCTTGGCCTTGGGCTAGTTTCCCCCACTTTCCCATTGGCCGAGATAAGGGCAGGCTGAGTAACTGATACATTCTGCGGCTTTTCTTGGAAGAGGGGTTAAGGACACAGCTATCAGTCCTGTTCTGTCCTTTCAATTACATGTTCACATGATATTCTTTTAGATATACTAGATTAAATATAACATATTGTTAGAATTTTACATCATTTTATGTTTTTAATGTGGCTACTAGAAAATTTAAATTACCTTATGTGGCTTGCATTTTACTTCTTTTGAACAGTACTTTCAACTTTGAGAAAGTTCAACTTTGAGATCATCTTTTTGGTGAGAACAGTTGGGAGTCTAGTTCTCTTTCATCTTTTACTAGTTACATCATCTGTCAGTTATTTAAATGATTTAGGGTTCAGTTTCCTCATGTTAAACAATAATTCTTTTAGCACTGGGCCTCTAGTATTTGTATCTTTAGGAAGATACTTTTAGTGAGTTTACAGTATCAATGACTTACTGTTTATAATTTTACTTTTTGCTTTTAAAAAATGTTTACGTGCTCAACCAGTTTAGCTCAGTGGCTAGAGTGTCGACCTGCGGACTGAAGGGTCCCAGGTTCGATTCTGGTCAAGGGCATGTACCTTGGTTGTGGGCACATCCCCAGTAGGTGGTGTGCAGGAGGCAGGTGATCGATGTTTCTCATCGATGTTTCTAACTATCCCTCTCTCTTCCTCTCTGTAAAAAATCAATAAAATATATTTTTTTAAAAAAAATGTTTACACTTTTCTCAAATGTGTTGCTGTTAATATTTGAGAAGCAATTTTATCTTTTTAGAATGCTATAGTAAACTTCTAGAATGCTTTGACATAATTTTTCTTAAAGCCTAGATGATGAACTGGATTCTTTTCATAATTTGAAGCAACGGGAAACAGAAGTAGAGTTAATTGAGAAGGATCATAGAGTTAATAACTTCAAAATAACCAAGCAGTCTTGTAAAGAAGTAGAAAAAGGTAAAATAAATATTCTTTTTGGAATAATCATTTAAATAATAACTTTGTGAAGTAGCCCACATAAAGTTTACACCATAGTGATAACACTTGTCCTCAGGTGTCTATATTTCTGTGTTCTAAATTTTTATAAACCATGAGATAGTTACATAAGGAAAGAAAAAAAATAAACTTCATTTTTTTCCAGTAATATTTCTAAACTCTCAAAACTTATGAAAATAAGTTAATCAAATGAATACTTTGTATAATTTATTTAGTTCTTTTTCATGTCAATATATGTTAGGAAGTGAGTAAAAGATTGTTAGTAGTATTTGACTAATCCTTTAATATTTTTAGAAAATATTCCAGGTTACTTAAGGTATGGTTTCCTTAGGCACTGAATTAGTAGTTAATCTCTATGTGCCTGGCTGCATAATTCTGTTACGATTTTAGTGAAAGAGGCAATCAGAGATGAGGCCCTCTTGGCTGTAAGTTTTTGAGAGCACTATTGCCACATTGATAGCCATTATGTGGCATATAAAAATATAGGATAAAGCAGTCAAGGTAATTCTGGCATTAAAACAAGAGCATGCTATTTAAAGGAGGAGGTTATAGAAATTACATAATTACATTATATATTTACAGACATTGTATAAAGTTAAAAATAGGCAAAAACCAAATAAGCCTTATTATTTTTAAAACAGAACATGATTATATTTAATACACAAGTTTGATACAATCAAAAAGTATAACAGAATAAAATAGTAAGAAAAAACATGGTATTTCATTTGCAATGCATGAGAAATGGTTAACATCTTTAGTCATAAACAAGCTCTTAAAAACCAGTAACAGAGACACTACAATGCAAGGAAACTGGAAAAAATAAATTAAATAATACAAGTGTTGATTAAGCATTAAGCATATACGATGAATTTTGCTGAGCAGTGATGAGGAATAATTTTTCTGTAGTGAGCAGAACAAAGACACTGACACCTAATATTCTTCAGTTTTGGACAGTGTTGTACAGTTTGAATGCATAAATACTGCGAGGCAGGTTGATACAAACTATCTATCTAAATAAAAATTGAGTATCCTTAGCGAGAGCAATTCCAATTCATTGGATTTATTTTAACAAGTTAATTGAATAAATTCAAAAGGAATTATATGAAAGCATGTTTAATGCAGAGAAAATATGTAGCCAGTATAAGCGCCTAAAACACTACTTGCCTATCAAGGTAAATAAGGCCTTTTTAAAAAATATAAGTAGCAAAGTTTAAAAAGAAGTGAAGCAATGATTAACACTACATTTGGGTTAGTGGTTAATATATGACCAGGAATTTCTGAGGTAACTACATTTCTTATCCTAGACAGTTAATAGATGAGTGTTTTTGTGCACTTTAAAATCTATTATTGAAACAATTTCAAACTGAAAAGTAGCCAAAAGATCACAGAGAATTCTGTATAGTCTTCATCCACATTTTCTAAATGTAACATTTTTACTACCTTTGCTGTATCATCCTTTCCACATATATTACCTGAAATTTTAAAAGATACTATAATTCATATTTAAAGTAGTTCTTCCTGAAGATTATCTGTGAATACTTAAAACTAAATTAATAAAGTTTAAAATTTTTACTTTTTAGCAGTAGCCTGGCCAACTAATTTTGCCTCAAATTCAAGAAATTGGACTGAATGTTGTAGTGATGTAAGTGACTCTCCTTTGAAACGTGTCAGTTATCCAACATCTAAAGCATCAAATAAGCAGAGTTTACTTCCATATCAGATCAATCAGATATATGATGAATTATTCCAAATACATCAGAAACTGCAGGTAAGAACTGAATACTGGATTGAGTATTTAGAAATGTTTATGCTCTAAACATCAAATATTTACAAAATTTAAGTGCTTAAAAGGTATTTCATTTTGTTTTCGATAAGTGTGCCAAGACATGATTGGAAGGGAATAAACACAATTTATAAGAACTATTGAAGAGGAAAATGTATGGCAGAGAAAAAATAGTGGTCTTTTTACATGTAGGTGTATTTCTTAGATTTCAGACTTTTAAAAAAATTATTTATTGTTTAAAGTATTACATGTGTCTCCTTTTCCCCCCATTGACCTCTCCCTACCTGTTCTCACCGCCCAGCACATGCCCCCACACCCCTACTGTCTGTGTCTATGGGTTATGCTTATATGCATGCATACAAGTCCTTGGTTGATCTCTTACTGCCATCGCCAACCACCTGCCTTCCATCTGAAGTTGGTCAGTATTTTTTAAAAAAAATATATTTTATTGTATTTTTTCACAGAGGAAGCGAGAGGGATAGAGAGTTAGAAACATCGATCAGCTGCCTCCTGCACACCTCCTACTGGGGATGTGCCTGCAACCAAGGTACATGCCCTTGACCGGAATCGAACCTGGGACCCTTCAGTCTGCAGGCCAACGCTCTATCCACTAAGCCAAACCAGTTAGGGCTGGTCAGTCGTTTTGATGCTTCTATGTCTTTGGATCTATTTTTGTTCATCATTTTATGTTGTTCATTATATTCCACAAATGAGTGAGATCATGTGATATTTTTCTTTCTCCAACTGGCTTATTTCAATTAGCATAATGCTCTCCAGGTCCATCCATGCTTTCGCAAATGGTAAGAGTTCCTTCTTTTTTTACAGCAGCATAGTATTCCATTATATAGGTGTACCACAGGTTTTTTTCGTTTTTTTTAATCTTTATTGTTCAGATGATTACAGATGTCCCTCTTTTTTCATCCCATAGCTTCCCTCCACCCAGTTCCTACCCCACACTAAGCCCTCATCACCTCACTGTCTGCATCCATAGATACTGCATACATGCATATAAGATCTTTTTTTTTTAATGTGATTGACATGAGATTTATTATCTAATAGATCCTTTTGTCTCAGGTTGTGATGGAAAAACACTTTGGTTAACTTTACTAAGCATGTTTAGAGTGTGACAGCAGCTTGGAAGATAGTAGGTGCTCAATTAGTGCTTGGTGAAATAAATGTGCATTGAATAAAAATACTGGCAACATGAAATGACACATTTTCCAGAAATTTAACAAGACAATCATACAGAAACAACACACTTATGAATAATGAATCTGACACTATAAAACATACAAATGTAAAATGTTGTTATTTTAAAAGTACCTTGTGTAACATAGCAAGAGTTGTTGGCATTCAATCATGAATCATAATTTTAATCTCCTAAAGAAGGGAATGTCAGGTATTTGTATCTCTGATTTATATCTCAGTAAATCATAGTACAATACAGCAAGCCTGGAAATCGCAAATCCAAAGCAGACTTCAGTGGAATTCGAACAACCCAGTTTAAAGATATTGTCCCTGACTTTATTATTGTCTACACAACAAAGCATAGAGGTTGTCTGGCTTCCCAGGGAGCTTGCCTTTTCCTGATCACTGAGAGCAAGAGGATCACTCTGGGCCTCCTCTAAGCTGGCTCATGTATCTTCTTCTTTTAATTTTTTTTAATTTATTTTTTAAATTGTTTTATTGCTTAAAGTATTACAAAGAGTATTACATATGTCTCCTTTTTTCCCCCGCCCTTTGCATATAAGATTTTTGTCTAATCACTTCCCACCACCCCCACCCCCTTCCCCCCGAGAATTGTCAGTCTGCTCCATTTCCATGCCCCTGATTCTATTATATTCACCAGTTTATTCTGTTCATCAGATTTTTTATTCATTTGATTTTTAGATTCACTAGTTGATAGATATGTATTTGTTGTCACTTTGTTGTTCATAATTTTTTCTCTTTACCTTTTTCTTCTTCTTCCTCTTAAAGAATACCCTTCAGCATTTCATATAATACTGGTTTGGTGGTGATGAAATCCTTTAGCTTTTTCTTGTCTGTGAAGCTCTTTAACTGACCTTCAATTCTAAATAATAGCTTTGCTGGGTAGAGTAATCTTGGGTGTAGGTTCTTGCTATTTATCACTTTGAATATTTCTTGCCACTCCCTTCTGGCTTGCATAGTTTCTGTTGAGAAATCAGATGACAATCGTATGGGTACTCCCTTGTAGGTAACTAACTGTTTTTCTCTTGCTGCTTTTAAGATTCTCTCTTTGTCTTTTGCCCTTGGCATTTTAATTATGATGTGTCTTGGTGTGGTCCTCTTTGGATTCCTCTTGTGGTTTTCTTGGGGTTCCTGGACTTGTAAGTCTATTTCTTTCACCAGGTAGGGGAAGTTTTCTGTCATTATTTCATCAAATAGGTTTTCAATATCTTGTTCTCTCTATTCTTCTGGCACCCCCATAATTCGGATGTTGGTATGTTTGAAGTTGTCCCAGAGGCTCCTTACACTATCTTCATAATTTTGGATTCTTTTTTCTTTTTGCTCTTCCGGTTAGGTGTTTTTTGCTTCCTCATACTTCAAATCTTTGACTTGATTCTTGGGGTCCTCTAGTCTGCTGTTGGAACTCTGCATAATATCCTTTATTTCAGTCAGTGTATGCTTAATTTCTGACTGGTCCTTATCCATATTTTTGGTATTCTCACTAAGATCCTTGAAGGTTTCACTAAGTTCCTCGGAGGTGTCTAGAAATTCTTGCGGTGTTTTTTTCTATGTATTGAGTAGATGCTATGTCTCCCTGGAGTTGGTAGAGTTGCCTTCTGTAGTGGGTGTCCTGTAGGACCCAGTGGCTCAGCCTCCCCAGTCATCTGAGCTGTGTGGGCTGTGTGCATAGCCTTGTTGTATTTGAGCTTTGTTTGCTACTGGTATCACTGGGAGGAATTGACCTCCAGGGCAATTGGCTGTGAGGACTAGCTGCTACTATAGTGGGAGGGCTGCTCTTCAGGAGACATCCTTATGGGGCAGGACTTGCTTCAGTGGGGTTTTGGTGCTCACTGAGTCTGTCCCTAGAGTGTGTCACTTATGGATTGAAGAGTTATAATCTGATATGATCTTGCACTGACCACTGGGTACACTGGCTTGGATCTCCAAGGAGGTGCAAAGTCAGCCATTGCGTGGATCTACCTCGTAGGAGCTACAGAGAGATCTGCAGATTCCTACTCTTTGTATCGGGTTTGGAAGTGCCCAGACGAGGCACAGCTCTGAATCAAGGCAGGCTTGTTGTTTGTGCAGCCTTGGGCCTTCTTTTGATAGCTTTGGAGCTCCCTGACTCAGTTGCAGCTTGTTTGACAGGTTTTAGGCTGAGAATGGACAGACCATTCATATGCAAAAGCCACTGAACACAGCTTGCGAGGGGTTGTAAATTGGGTAGTGCAGCTTATCAGGGAATCTCCAGGGCAGAGCAAACAGCAATGGCTGCCAGTCAGCCTTGCAACACAGGAACAATGACTGTTGCAAGTACGCCTGTCTGGAAGAAAGCCGCCCCTGCGTTCCTGCCCCGATGCCAGACAGTCCAATTTCTCCCTGTATGTGTCTGGGTCCCCCTGAGTCTCGCCCGGCAGTGGAACTTAGAGCAAGCTAGAGCTTGTATCTCCCTCCTGATTAAAAGAGCGGCACACCTGGGTGCCAGCCTGTTTTGCGCCTCCGTACCTCTTACCAGTCTCAATGCGCTTTCTTCTTTACTTCTCTAGTTGTAGTACTTCCACTCAGCCAGCTTTCCTGTGGTTCTGGATGATAGTTCAGTATTTTAGCTGTAATTTTGATGTGGTTGTGGGAGGCAGCAAGTACAGATGTTTACCTATGCTGTCATATTGGTTTTCCTGTACCACAGTTTTTTAATCCATTCATCTGCTGATGGGCACTTAAGCTGTTTCCAAATCTTAGCTATTGTAAATTGTGCTGATATGAATGTAGGGGTGCATATATCCTTTCTGATTTGTGTTTCTGATTTCTTGGTATATATTTATAGAAGTGGGATAACTGGATCAAATGGGAATTCCATTTTTAATTTTTTGAGGAAACTCCATACTGTTCTCCACAGTGGCTGCAGCAGTCTGCATTCCACCAGCAGTGCATGAGGGTTTCTTTTTCTCCATATCCTCACTAGCACTTGTCATTTGTTGACTTGTTGATGATAGCCATTCTGATAGGTGTGAGACAGTACCTCGTTGTTTTGATTTGCATCTCTTAGATGATTACTGACTTTGAGCATGTTTTCATATGTCTCTTGGCCTTCTGCTTGTCCTTTTTTGAAAAGTGTCTATTTAGGTCCTTTGCCCATTTCTTGATATATTGTTTATCTTCCTTCTGTTAAGTTGTGTTAGTTCCCTATAAACTTTGGAGATAAAACCTTTATTGGATATAACATTGGCAAATATGTTCTCCCATGCAGTGGGCCCTCTGGTTGTTTAGTTGATGGTTTCTTTTGCTATGCAGAAATTTTTTATTTTGATGTAGTCCCTTATTTTCTCCTTAGTTTCCATTGTCTCAAGAGCTGTATCGGTAGGTTTCAGAGTTTTTGTTTTATGTTTCTTCCAATTCCATGTTTGTTTAAGAAATGAAACAAAATCTGCTGGTAAAGCATACTTTTTGAAATAGGCATTCTAGATTCATCGTTTTAAATTCCTATCTGTAAGAAGTTATCTTGTCAACTCTCAGCAAGATTAAGGTTAGAACACTGGCCTTAATCTTGGGGATTTTTTATTTCTATGGGAGGTAATTATGAATTTATCAAGTGTCCACTAGTTGGGAGTACAGAAGGAAGCAAAGTATTTGTGATACACAATTTCTGTTAAAATTCTAGTTGGAAATATGTTATATTTTTATACACATGAAATAAACATTAAAAAAACACAAATATCTCATTTTATCTAAATAATTCAAATTACAATTACCATAGTATTTTAGAAAAATATTTTTTTAGCTTAAAATCACTGTGGGAA